ATGGTAGAAGAAGAGGTAAGGGCGAGTTACTATTTTGTTAGCAATGCAGAAAAATCATACTTGCAATTCTTTTACCGATGCAAATAAATTTTCTGTAACTAGGAAACAAAAATGTGTTGTTTTTTAAAATACTGCTAATCTCGCGATTGTAAAAGTTATTTTTACTTATTTATTTTAAACGTTTACTCATCTTTTAACTATTTATAATTAAAATGACGGGAAGGGATTCTGGAACTCAAGAAAACGTGCGCAAATAATCTTCTCCCCCATACGTCACGTACAGTTTGTACTGTTTTTTTGACTAAATAAATCTATATCTAAACCTAAATCTAAAGTACTTAAAAGTGTGTGCTGTTGCAGTACTACTAGTTGAAACTCTGAAGAGTCTAATTGTATAGAATTAGTTAGGCAACAGGAAAGATTTTAATTGACACTAAGTGGAAACTTTGGAATCAACTTTAAGAGTTTCAAGACATCTGTATGTATTGTAAAATAATGGACATTTATGGTATGTGCATTTTTGTGGAGAGCTGATGACACTGATTCGTCTTGAATATGAATACCACCTTGAGAGTGATGATAGACATCTTTATTCCTTGAAAATGTGTTCCCACCCTTGAGTAAGTCGTCTTTGGCGGAAGAATTTCAAGTGCATATTGATATATAATTCTTTAAGTTTTTAGACATAAAACATTTACACCTTTATTGAAAATACGTGACAACCATAGCACTGAAATAATTCGTCAAATACACTACGGGTGTATTCGGAAGGGACGATGTAACAACACCTTAATATTCGGGCAATTCTGCGAGTTCCTCGTAATTAGAAAAAAATCCGTCTTTGCTACGAGGTGGTGGGGTGAAAACATGCCTAATCATGAACCGAAATATCACAGTTTATATTCATTAAATGCTTTGACGGCAAATAGTTTATCTAAAGAAAAGGACCTCAGAAGTGAAAACACAACTTTCGAGGAGTGACAACAGGCGTGTGCTTATCATGCCAAGGCACGTACACTAAGCGAAACATGAGAAATGTTAAATATTTGTAAGAGCACCTCAAAGAGGATAACTTGGGACATTTTTTAAAAATCTTGGCTGTATCGGTTGTGTTCACGTGTTTCAGTCAAACAGCGCCGGAGTGATCACGACGGGTTAAAGAACATATTACCAACTTTTGGAAGTTTTATTTGCAGGTAAATGTTAAACAGTAACAAAAATAGTTAACGTAACTTTGACCTAAAAAACAACCATTTTGAAAACCTCATTGTACAGTTCTTATTAAGCTTTCTTGTTTGTATTTTGTGCGTATTTGCAATCCACAACCTGAACTATTGTCCAGCGTCTCCAGTATCATGTGTCAATGCTGCCCGTTTAATTTTTTATGGATGGAAAGTTCCTACACGTGGCTAGAGGCGAGTAAATTGGGACACTGTTCCAAGATACCCAATATTCGTATTTTATAGGAATGACAGTATAAAAATATTAAACTCTGTTTTAGATTAATGAATATGAAGGCATGAGGTAATGCGAGACAAGTTTTTCAGTAAAAAAAATATATCTTCCTCCAAGTCATATACACAAGGTTGAACTACAAACATTAAAAGTGTCCCAAGTTACTCTCTTCCCTTTAAGTTATCCAAGTCGCTCTACTATTTATGACAAAGCGGAGTCACAAGAAAGATCACCAGATTGAATCCATACCATAGAAATGGCGTCTAGTTATTATTAGTAACGGCAATATGGCGTGTTATCGCGATGGATGAGGAAAAATCCCTTAAACTCAAAGTTGATTCCAAAGTTTCAACTGAGGTCAAATAAAATCTTTCCTGCTGCCTAACTAACTCTATACAATTATACTTCAGAGCTTCAACTAGTTGTACTACTACAGCACATACTTTTAAGTACTTTAGAAATCGAACTGCGTACATTAACTAGGATGTCCGTTTGTCTGGAAACTGCGCCCTGTCTGCTAAGAAATGTTATATAATGGGCAATTTGCTAGGAAAAAGCCTTTCTTCATCGAAGCAAATAGAGGTTGCAATTGGCAAAAGAGTACATACACAACGATACGGAGCGTCATGGCTCAGCCGGAAGCGCGCCGACTCCGCAATGCGGAGGCCCGGGCCAGCCATCCAGGTTTTTCGTGGTTTTGCTTTGACATAAAGCAAATTCTGGGATGGTTTGAAAATGCCAAGATCACCTCCCTTGACACCATCATACTTTTCATTCTCTATCGTCTACGACTTCATTCAGCATTCCCTGCAGGAGGCTCTTGCCCTTAATGAGATCTTATGTGACTAATAATAAATAATAAATAATAAATAATAAATAATAAATAATAAATAATAAATAATAAATAATAAATAATAATAAGACAAAGACGAAGAATGATGGAAGTGTCGAATTTGAGTTTTGATGGTGGAAGAGTAAATTTGAGGTTTTCGGCTCAGACAATACGCGAATCGTGAGGAGAGCGCTTTACATTAGTAGCTTAATAAGAATCGCATTACCACAGTAAAACATTGAAGTGGGCCCGTGAAGATTTGGGGCTGCAAAGCCGCTAGTGAGGTGAAACGTTTTATTCAAGGTTCCGACAAAATGCAGTATCCTAATATTTTCAAGAACAATTTGCGCAGAAACTTAGAGAAACTGGGGATTGGATATTGTTTAAAATTTCATCGAGACAGATCGAAAAAAAAAAAAAAGGCACTCGCATGAAAATAACCTTGATAACGTTGTATCTTAATTTTATGAATTTGTGCTTTATTGAAAGAACACGTCCAGTAAACGGTATTGAATTCATTATTTAGGGTGTTTGAGGATTTTATTTTCATTTTAAATTAGGTTCGTCAATTAAAACGTGTATTTGACGAGTGCAGTTTCTTTAGTGGAAAATTGACCGCCTTGGAAGAATAAACCTCCTTCCTTTTTATAGGCCTCAGCGTTTTTATTCGTGCAGTCATTTCACGTCGCCATGCATAGGATGTCTCGAGCGACAATCATGGATTCTGATGTTTTGTTTTTGTTGATCGTCGTAAATTGACATTGTAGTTACCGTTTCCTCCTTGCAGTTGCAGTTTATGAACTGGGCAACCATCTCCTCTCGTGAGAAATTACTACACAGCTTGAAAAAAATAATTATTGGAAATCGCTTTAAGTAGAAAAATTATGAATATGCTAAAATTTCACACTAACGCATTCAGTCCTGAAAAAAATACACATCCATCATGATTGAAAACGATTCTAGTGTAGTGAAAGTTTAGAAAACAATTTTAACTCAATCAACAGCAGCAATAACAATTATCAAGGAATGAACTACTGTAAAACTTTTCCAAATACGTTTGTTGCAAAGCGATAAAATTTGATCTTATTTTGAAATCCTAGTCCGTTTATATTTTCTATGAATTCTTTTACCTGTAATCGTCTCAATGCAGAACTAGTAAAAAACTAGAGAGCTCATTGGAAAACTAAGTGGAACCACGTTCACTAGAGGTGTGCATATCTGACGTGGACTCTGTGCATTTCTAACGAATGTTTGTATATAGACTTATTAAGCTTCGTTTTCATGAATTTGATAAAGTATTACGTTTTATTATCTATTAATGTTCTCAATTGTGCATATTACATTCCCGACATTTGACGAATATGCAACATTTTTTTGAGGAATTGAATTGAATTGAATTGACGCCTTATTTTACGTGGCAAGACGCAAGCCATTACGCCCGCTCTTCTGTCTGACCGCGCAAATTTCACTACGCTCCTTTCACCAACTAGCAGAGAAAGGAGGTATTTCTTGGGCGAGAAACAGGCGATTTGAATTTAGCTCAGAGGCGTCATTTAGGCTTGAGGATCTTTTACATGCAAGTAAATCTACTAACATGGGACAGCCGGCTTTACTTCCCCTCCGAAGGAAGGCGTTCGACGAATTTTTTGACTCTTAAAAATCCACGGCTTCGATCGGGTTTGAACCCGTCAACTTGGGTATAACAATTCGAGTTACACCATCGCCGCCAACACCAGCCCCCACTAATTCTTGTTTTACCGCGCCAATAATGGAGGCTGAAAAAGTAACTGCTTATTTTGTTTGTAGGTGTATGGGGCCGTGACTACCATTTTTGTCATTCGATCACAAGTTTCACACGAAACGAGTACGAACACTACATTACTCGGTACGGCGTGAACTGCTCCGTAAATAAGGAATAATTCTCTGCTTCTGTTCGGACAGACGCAATAGTGGCGCCATCACGAAAAAAATCGAATTATTTAATTAGTTTATTCTGCTATCTTTTATTTAGATTGCGGCAAAACGTACTATGCTCTGTTATTATAATTGTGTACTGTTACATGCCCTTGCTCACTATCCCTGATCTTCGAAAGCCTCCCCTGAAAACGACCTTCCTCCCCACTTACCGACAAGCTGAAAAGCCACCATTTATTTGCGTAAAAAAGAATCAGGACCCCACTCCTTTGCCCTCCCCGGTAAAGAACGAGTTTTGCAGAATTTTACACCTCACGAAGACCGCGTTTATGGTATAGAGCCCCTTGATGGGGCTCAATGTGTACCATTAACAACGTCAAACATCGGAAGGTTGTCAGTTTGTCACGCAAGAGACTCCACTTTAACCGCTGCCCCCGCCACTTTCACCTTGGCCTCGCCCTGCACTGGCCCCAGCCTCCTACCACTAGTCCTTGCGCCCAGCCCGACTCCCGGTCCAAAAGAATTTGAGTGAGCTATTGATAATATTGTGGCTATTCAACTTGACATAATATGACGTAATACACTTCTCTTCGGTTCTACGTTCAATGACCTATGTTCAATGAGTTGGAAAATATATCATTTGCAGAAAAATACAGAAAGTACCAATGGATGTACACTCTTGGAAACAAAATTTCAAAATCTTTGCCGTCCGGAAAATGACTTGGCCCGAAGATTGATGGGTGTGGCTGGACATACCTGCTGTGCGCGACACGCGTATGCTTAACGTTTCTTCTACGAAAACTACGTTTCTGTAAGATCGAGACTATAATTATAAATTTATTTTAGTGGACGAGCGTATTGAAATACTTAAGACCTGAGACGCTAAATGGTAACACTACAGAGAAAATACTTCGTGATTCCTGCAGGTAAAACAGAACTGACATTAACTTTGATAACTGATTTTGCTTTAAAATTTCGTTAATATAAAAATTGTTGAAATCTCTCTCTTTT